CCCAGGGTACGTTCCGGTATACCGGACCGTACCCGGAGTACGTTCGGGCAGTACCCTGGGGGACATAGACCCTACGAGCCCTACTGACGCCTGGCCAGAAGTGGTGGTTAACGGTTTCCAGTCAGTCCACTCCCCTGGGGTAATTTGGTTGGCATTTATGGCACCATGTTTATCATAAGTTCAAGGCTAAACACAAATGGTGCCAGTGATAGGATGGATACAACAATGAAACTCAACACGAGAGTATGCGACCTACTCTGCACACCACGTCCCTACTCTATCCCTACTCTTGTTAGGTTAGATATCTAGTGAGTAGTGACAGAGCAATTCAAGGTCACATATGATTGAATAGGATGGCATATGCCCTACGGCAGTAACGTCAACACCTCCGTACAGATACTTATGGGTGACGTACCATTTAGTCAGCCACACAGCTGAACACAGCTAGCTCGTGTAGCCTATATCTACAGATACATGGGTTAGAGCGGTGCTAACCCATCCCTGCCTGTACCCATCTACTCCTGATCTACATGTATCTGTATAATACGCTACACGAACTTAGCGCCAAGATAAATCAAGGGCCACCAAGTGGAGCCAATGTCAATAGATGCTATCAAGAGTGAATTTATAATAATTATTAATATTATATTATTATTCACTCCTGATGCTATCTACTATTCAACCCCCGGACAAAACACACAGCTTTTGGGGTGTGTCACAAAGGGTTTTGGTTGTAGGCAGAGCGAGGTCTAGATACGATAACGTAACCCAACAAGAGTAGGGTTCCTACACTTGTTATGTTACATTATTATATATCTAAGAGAGGACCAGTTATTACAATTGGATTAACATTCTCAGAAGTTAATGGACCAGACAGTGTAATGACGTAGATATCAAATTATTTAACCTAGGGGTAGTATAAAACCTAGCGACACGAGTGGCGACACGGAAGCAGATAGTGTCATAGCTTATTTTAGTTAAACAGCTCTAGGTAACAACAAGTGAAAGTTAGCACTTACACAAGACCGAGAGAAATATGAGACGACGACAGAGTGACACTTTAGTACCTACACAAGGCCGAAAAAAATATGAGTGCGACACAGCAGGACCTCTAACACCGGTGTCGCACAGTTTTATAACCCAACCAGGGTTAAAACTGTGCGATATTTTTACCATCGTCAAGCCGAAGCACGCCGCATGCACGGGGCACCAGCGGTATGGCACGAGGAAGCTTGACATTTTAGTACCCATATATATAGAAGGCCGCACTGTGACATTCTAGCACAAATAGGAGGACATCACAGTCTAATGTCGCGTGCCAACTCATCGAAGAACAAACAACAAACGCCGCCGACAAATGTGAAATATGAGAACATGAATCGAACTGCCTCAATTCCCACGCCACAGGACACCCAAGGACTTCGACAAGCTTCTACCGATGTCTCCACGCCAGACGCAAGAACTTCTAGAATCTTCGCCGTCATTTCCACACCGGAGCGAGAAGCCTCTCACCTTCAGTTATCCATAAAAAGCTGGAGAGGATGACAGGATTGCACCATCGCACGCAACGAGGCATTGACCACACTTGGGCCATGCATTCCTCCAGATGCATAAATACCAAACATTTTGGACAGAAAGACAGACAGTTCCAGGGTATAGACAGAACTCGACACTGTCTAAACACTAGCACTGCGCTCACCTGCTGCCATCGCTGCTCGGCACCATCGCCGCCGGACATCCCCTGACTGAGGACCTGCCTGCTGCTTTTAGGTTGTAAGATATGAATTACTTGTAACGCGTACTTGTTTATTGGCCTGCGTGCCACCTATGACTGTAGATGAGATTGTCATGATTATGTTGATTATTAAAGAATAGAGTAACCGTAATGATTCTGTGGTTATAGCATTATACTGCCTACAGCTCTAGTACAATCACACACGTAGGTATATATAATACTGTCAGCGAACCTGGTCACACTATACGATCACACGTGCCTGTTATACGTAGCACACACGAGCTCTGTTATTTATAACAGAACAGTGCTGAATGATAAAGTTAACTACTGGTAAGGATAACAATAACACTAGTGAGAGATCTCCAGGCCTAGCCTGACACTCAGTGCTTATATAGCAATATGGGTTCATGCTGCTGTAGATATCTCAATACTTTGGTGGCCCAAACGGTCATTAACTTCTTCACTAAATGCTGAGGTATGATTATCACTATAACTCTGTTTTTTTTTCTGATAGCCTGGGATATGATAGCAGGTGATATAATAGCCATCCAGCCTCCAGGCCACCATGCAATACTACATTCCATGTAGAATCTCCGGGTGAGTGGTGTTTACCACTGGCTCTTACACCGTGATTTCGCATGTTTGTAGAGTGGCAATAAATAAGTGTGAACTATGAACCTAGCACACACAAAGTGCTAGATAATTACCAAAGGTCAACACAGAAATTACGTTTCATATCAAAGTCCAAAGAGTTCCTGCCCAGGGTGCGAAATTAACAAGAGTCCGGAGTGAAATACTCCCTGATTTACTGTCGGACTCCCTGATTTGACATATATATGCAGAAGTCCGTGTGACTCCCTGAAAATTCTGCAATACTAAATAGTTCTTTCCGGAGCACGGCCTCGCGAAATTACTGTATTTTTTCAGCAAATGAATCTTAAAAATAAACACGTGCGTTATTGTTAATATCTTTAATTTTGAACCTGAGACTACTGACGCCAGACTCCCTCATTTTGCTGCGAACTCCCTCTTTTTTAGGGTAGGGAGTCCGTTGGACTCCCTTGTTCAAAAGTTAATTTCTACCCCTGCTGCCTATTAATAGTAATAATACCACGTAAATGACATTCAATTGCTCCTCTGCAACACACAATCTGAACAATCGAATAGCATGGATTTTCTGATAACAAATGGGTGGTTGCTCCCATTTATGTTGCTGTAGAGTAAAAGTTGCCTGCTGTATTTTTTAACGAAATTCATCAGAGTAAGTTATGTTCTACCAAACTGTGAGGGTGATAATTTGAATAAGTGAACATTCAACTATGAATAGATATATCAATAAAAGGTGGTTGGTTGTGTATATGTTTTGTGATAGTGTGAAACGAAGCTAGCAGGCGCGTAGCTGCCTTTAGGCAGAAAAGCACGTGCCTACACATCATTTTCCCAAAAAATGGTTAAAAAAATCTACGTAAAAAAAAAAGTATACATAAAAAATATATGCCCGACTCAACACCATAGTGTGTTCTATTCTAGTTCTATGCTCTACACACACTGAATGATTGAGCAATGATAGGTCAATCTCACTACAGAGATGAAAATTGCTCTCGTTTGTTGTGGCGATCGCCTATTCCAAGAAAGAGTTTTGCTGTCGCTCTCATCCCAGCGGTGGTCACCCCCTACATATTCAATAATAAACGCGACCTAAACAATGCCCCCCCCCTGTACATCAATCAATGCCGTGCTGCAAGCGCAAGAATTGTTATACTAAAAGAGAAATTGTCGTAGTCAGAATGAAGGCTGTACATTAGGGGTGAGTATTGCGACCAAAAACCGTATTGCAATATATTGCAATACGACAAAACCGTATTGCAATATTTTCCAATACTTATTGGGAAGTGTATACCATGCATGATATAGTAACAATTTAATGGTTTTAATATCATCATATATTGTATTATATGACATGATTTAATTTTTCATGTTTTTCTTGAGAAACAAAAGCACGGCAATGTTTTCCGCTAACAGTGCAGCCCTCTGTGCCGTAACAATGTCACCCGCTGTACTGAATACCCTCTCAGAGGGCACTGCCGTAGCTGGAATACACAATACCCCTGCTGCATAATTGGCTAATACTGGATACTGAAACTGAAACTGAAAGTGAAACAGTGGGTGCTCGCTTCAGCTTGTATCGCGCGTGCGGGGGCACTCAGGTGAGCATAGGCTATATATATAGACTCCCTAGTTGCCGTGCTCTCTGCCTCGCGCACACGTCTGCCCCACTCTGCCCGCGCAGTAGTACCGCGCAGTGCTCCATGCAGTGGCCCCTTACCAGTAATACTGTATGCGTCGTGCAGGCATTGTGCTTTCGTAATATATACACCGCCAGTGCATAATTTTTGAGCCCATTAACAATATAGACATAAAGGCAAGTGTCAAGTAATTTATTTCTTGTTATACCACTGTATCGTAAAATATCGATATCCGGAAGTTGTATCGCGATATATCAAGTTTTCAAAATATATTGCAATATACCGATATATCGGTATATCGTTACACCCCTACTGTACATGTACTCAAAAGTATCTCAAATACCATCTCCTGCGGTGTACATTTAAAAAAAATTCTGGGGGAGGACCCCTATACCCCTGGCCTGTTTTTCAGTTCTGCCTGCACATCTTTGAAGGGCTATAGCTATAGCTACGCCCCTGGCTAGCATTGTCTGAATTTGGTGCTTGCACTTGCATATCTTTCTGTGAGTTTGTGCAGTGGCGTAAACCACTTCGTGTCAACATGGTGGTTGTATGTGCAATTCTGCCGTCGCATGAAACCAAGCGAGCATTGTCATTAATTTGGCATGCATGTTTCCCCACCTGCTCATCTTTTCGTATGTGCACAGTGGTGTGCATCTGGTGAGATTATGTGCTGTAGAGGAGCACTTGAACGGAATCTAAGTAAAATCATATATGGCAATAATATGGCGATAGAGATTACGTGCACATTAACACTTTGGCAGTAAATACAATATGACATGTGTTCACTTACTGACGCTGAGAGGGTCTATGTCCCCCAGGGTACTGCCGGAACGTACCCTGGTACTATATCTAATATGCCGGACCGTACCTCTCCTACTCCACTAACGAGTCTAGGGAGTCGCCTACGCCTACTCCCTAATCCTAACCCTATCAAATATTGACCAGGGTACCCGGCAGTAACCTGGGGGACATAGACCCTATGAGCCTTACTGACATTTTATTTTTAATATTATAATAATGAAACACACCAAGACTGCAAGAGAATGTGGCAGAGTAGAGGCATGGTCACGGTGGAGCAGACGCATGTGCATCGTTAGGTGATGGGAGAGGCAGTGTGGAATGCGCAGGTGCAGTAAGAAATAAAGCTGGAGAAGAGAGAAAGGACAGTGAAGATAGAGAATATGCATGTGAAGCAAGCGCCAAGACCGACCAGTCTAAATCCCGATCCGGCGATCGCGAGTTTAACACTGTAGGCCTACTGTTACAGTAACTCACCTCCAACACTCAAGTTCACTTTCGATGGATGGGTGTCCTCGTTGAATTTAGCTACCAGTTCGAACACCTCCACAGAGGGGCCATGAGCGATGTCTCCGAAACGCGAAGTCATGTTGAATTGTCAGAGATAATTAGATCAGCGGCGGACGGTACAGAAACAGGAACGCAAACGCAAGGGAACAGGAACGCCAGAGAATATCCGGAGGAGTAAGGTCGCCGTGACGGAGTGACAACTAGCGCCCCCATCCGCACTTCAAAAACTCCTCCAAAAGCAGTGCATTTTATCATGCATGTTTGATCTGCACCCTGTTACATCCTAAAATATTTAGAATGCATAGGGAGGTTGAACCGCCAATATCTAATGATTGTGACTGTTATTTATCAATAGCTCAACATTACATATCATTTGTAATCGTATCAGTAGAGGTCAAATATCGGGCATCATCATCCCGCCATCTATTGTCAGAAATAAGTTATAACAGTCAGTATCATAGCAATATTATAGAGATATTACACGAAGACGAGTATATTATTTCTTAGCTCTAGTACTATAGCCCGCCAGCGGCAGTTAATGTAAGCGGGCTATAGTACTAGAGCTAATTATTTCTATGGCCATGGCAGTAATACATATATATATATATATATAAACAGATATATATATATATATATATATATATATAGTT